GCACATCGGCGAAGTTCTTCGTGTAGTGTCACCTAGCTGCTCTTGTACCTTTTGCAAAACCTCATATGTCAGCAAGCGAAGCCTCACCTTAACAGACTTTTATTTGTAAAATATTCAATACAGACTGATCGAACTCAAGTTGAATCGGATGTTTTTAAATGTAATCCGCCATTCATCACAACAAAGCTTTACGGAACAAACTGGACACCTTGTTGTCAGACACATGTGCGCTCACGCGACTGGCAATTTGGCGACTTCCTGTGTTCTTTCTGTGTTATGCTAAAGTAATCTTTGATCGGGTAAAACGATTCGAATAGTTTACCAGACATCGATGCTAGTCTTGGACAATCACTGAATAAGAAAGCATAGCAAAAAAACCTTGCTCCTCACGAAACCATAGCAAGTATAAATCCGAAAAAGAACCACGCGGAAGGGGGGGGGGGGAGGGGGGGGGGGGGGGGTGGGGAGGAGGACGTTACCTTCGACCAAAATAGGCGAAAACCAAGGTACAGACTTTCCGCTTTTGTCTAGGCATCATAATCATCCATGTCGCTTATACATTAAAGACACATGGTACGCTCACATACATTGAAGGGTATGTGATATCAGCAACCTCCCTGCCCCCCCCCCCAGTTGTCGATGTGTCGTGGTTTCCTGGCCTGAAACGGCACGGGGTTAGAGTACAGGGCCATGAAGAGTCTAATTCGTCCATGCTCCGCCTACCGTTTATGCTAACAGCCTTTCCACGCCTCGCGTGTCGCGCGCAGACTCTCTTGGCTTTTGCCAAGTCCTGTAATTGCCCTTTGGAATACAAGTAAAACACAGTTTCCTGATGCGGATAACATATTAGGTGCGCAAAGTAAGAACCGAAGATGATGACGAGGGCTAGAACCCAAGAGCAACAGTGCTGCTCCTGCAATATCCCTCAGAGGCCGCGCACTCCCACAGAACATGACAATAAAAAAGGTCCAAGCTTTCCACTCCGAACAGAAGGTGACGAAGATGACAAAAGCTAGAAATGAAGAACAACGAATGTAGACGTAAATAAAACAAAAATGAAAAATTCAAGGAAATGCAAATTAATTAAAATCGTGTGTAAATCTCTGCGATCCGGCGCGAATTCGGCTCCAAAGCCATAGAAACAATTTAAACTAACGAGTGGGAGCTCGGGCCGTTTTTATTTCATGTTTTGTGGGAAGCGCGGCCTTCGAGGATATTGCAGAAGCAGCACAGTTGCTCTTGAGCTGTGGCCCTCGTCATCATCTTCGAGCTGCGCGCGACACGCGCCGCGGTGAGGGCTGTTAGAGCGCCTTCAGACTTTGCGATCGCGCGATCCGATCGCGCTACTGTTATGGGTGAAATTCACACCGGTGGGGTCATGTTTGTTCATGTTTATTGTTCTTTTAAACAAACACAATAAACATGAACAAAGATGACCCCCCGGTGTGAATTTCACCCATCAGAGCAGCGCGATCGGATCGCGCGATCGCGAAGTCTGAACGCGCTCTTAGCATAGAGGGAGTATTCGCTGCAAGTTGCATTTTGGACGGAGCACGGACGAATTACACTTTCCTATGGCCCTGGCAACTCCCGCGTTACTCTAGAAGTGCAGTTTCGGGCGGGGAAACCACGACATATCGACAGCTGGGGGGCTGATAGTCACATACACCCTCAATGTGTGTGAGCGTACCATGTGTCTTTAAGTCGAGTCAAGGGAAAGAGGCGTAGACACTCCCGATCATCTACCAAAACCAAACGGGAATTCTCCCACGTACACTTGATTCGCTTGTTAGCACCTTTTTGCTTCCAGAAAACCTGGAGAAAAGACGAGACGTAGAAATGACGTTAGCAGGAAAATGGGGCATTGCAATCAACCGCACAGCGTAAAATCAGCATAAAATAGTGCTATTAGGTAGCTTCAAACATTACAGGATTCCATAAAAATGCTCTTCTCTCTTAGTGCCTGACTTGGAAAGAGTGCAGTTTGTTTCGGAAAGGATGATTCAAAGTAAAAAAGTATATGTAATAAGTGGGGTGTATAAGAAAAACCTACGGAGGTATCGCCAACAACTCCCGACTTCGCAGTCCTTCTTTTAACAGCGTCAAACATTTCAGTCTCTTTTTTAGGTTTGTATACACCATTTCCAACTTTCACGACAACATCGTTAGGGGAATAAATCAATACGTGAGATACCCGATGAAACATCGCCTGAAAATTCAACTCTAAATAAGGTACATGTAAAGGTTGAGCGTTGGGATCTAGAAAGGGGGGGGGGTCGTACTCAGTCTGGAGAACGAAACGAAACCAGTTGGCTTTAGTAATTTTCTCCGATGTGTTCCCCGTTTCATACGCCGTGCTGGGTGGCTGTGGCGAGCGACGCCGCATCGAGAGCAGTTGTCCTGCTTGATCGTTAGGATATTAGTGCTAAAGGGACGGGAAAAAAGGATTGCCATGAAGCCCGTCTCTGTTTGAACTGATACGAGTTTTGTTGCCATTATCAACAAACTGATGCATATCGAGAAACGTTGCGCGGCGCCGCACGATACGCTGCGCGCGACAAATTGCGAAAGGGGAGACGTCTGACCTTTTGGTCGGCAGCACCGCTAAACTACGTCTAATAGTCGGTCGGAGGTGTCTGTCTTTCTGGTACTCCCCTCCCCCCCCCTACCACTACCACCACCTGCTCGAGGCAATTTTTTTTTCAGAAAAAGTTTGGTAGGTGACCGGTCGGTTGTGGATGGGGTTCGTACTTACAACTGAAGGATACGAACTCGTCACGGTCATTCAGAATGAGATGTATACTTATAGAAGCGTCCTCGGACACTTATAACAGACCTGACTTCCAAATCTGCTAAACGATTCTAGGTAAGAAATTAGGGACCTTTTTTGCTACCGAGCTTAACCATTGCGGCAATTAGGTAAAAGTGTAATTTTCCACGAAATCGTTCACGGGGCTCAATAAATAGCAGGGAGGGGTCTTGGTGGTCGGACAAGTACGCAAAACTACTTCCCAAATGTTTGGCACACGTTTCACGAAAAAGCAAAATGACGAAATGCACCAAGGATTCGAACCACCGTCCCACTACTATGAGCCCACCCCCTTACCTGCTGCGCCACCCAGCACCGGTGAGAGCCATTCACGAGGGGTTCACAAACGAAAAGCATGTGCAGGGGGGCCGCCGCAATGGTTAAGCTCGGTGGCAAAAAAGGTCCGTAACTTCTTACCTAGATTCGTTTAGCAGATTTGGAATTCAGATCTGATATTAGCGTCCGAAGGTGCTTCTAGGAGTATACATCTCATTCTGAATGCAGATGACGAGTTGGTATCCTTCCCTTGTTAGCAAAACTAGTCTCCAACGCAGGACGGCCCTAACTCCGAAGCATCCATTAAGCGATACACAGACAAACCCACACTGATAACTGCGTAATAGACTGCCTTAACTTGAACCGTATATGAACTATCTCGAGCATCTAATTCAATATTAGAATTCCTGAAAATACTTAGAGCGGTATTCAAAAGCAACAACAATGAGGTTGCTTATCATGCATTAGCAAATGTTTACACAAACAAAGTAACCATATTTCAACCCTGTCTGGGAAGGCATGAACAATCTTCTAATATCCTTTTACAACGAGTCCCGTTAGAAAAGTGTTCAACCTTTCGGGATGCTCCATCCAGCGGATCACACAATTGGCTTTCCTGTCTAGCCGTTCCGGCTCTCCATAGACAATCACCGGTGTGGCACTGTAAGTATGAAATGTTTGTGAACAGCCTGAACGAATACCTGCCTTTTGTAATGATTTCATGTTTTCGTGGCACGACTTGTGAACTAAATGAATAAATGAACGTGCACTGGTTCCGAAGGACTAGCTTCCTCATAGGAGAAGTGGATACTGGATCGTCCAAAACCTCCACTATGTGTTTTGCCCGCTCTACAATAGCGCTGTTTTGACAGTGACCAGCTGTTATGAAAGCAACCGACAGCAGTGTTTAGCAAGGCTACCACAATCATAACGTTCGTTGCAGATCAGTGCAGTGCAGTAAGTTTTTGAGATGCAACCTCACAACAGCAACAAATGATTAATAACTTACGTTGCCCATGGTCGGTCTTGCTCAAAAATCCGAATGTCTTTGGCAGAAGGAGTGGTAGAGGAGACACTTCTCAGTAACCACGAAAAGGCAACGTCGCTGAAATAAATGCGAAGTAACTCACAGAAAAAAGAAAAGTATAAAAAGGTAAACTTACTACGATCCGCTGGCACTTCTTACTGAGGACAATGTTCGACTGAAGTCTCGCAGAAAACCAAAAGGCACTAACATAGGAGGAAGACGGTATGGGTCAAGCCTGGTCACAACATTCCTCCAAAAGCACAGATAAAATGCATGTGACACAAGAATAGTAGAAAAGCGAATTTTTGGTCACTCCTTGCAGAAAAACAACGTATGTCGTCATCGAATTACTGTTCCTTCTAAAAACATAAGCAATACGTTTATTTCCCATTCAAATTTGCACAGATCACATCACAGTGCTTCGTGTTATACATCTGAGCTCCACGCCTCGCTAGCTCATCAGCGGCATCGTTCCCAGAATCACCGCTATGACCGGCAACATGTTCGAATTTCACCTTAAAATGTGTTATATTCAATATGTAATCGTCAATGGCGAAGAAGTCATCTTCCAGGTTTTCGTTTCGAAGTTAGAAAGAAAAACGAACCCTTGGCACTACTTATCCTTTACTGTCCCAATCACCCAGAATCAAACCAGTTCTTGACTGACTTTTCTCTCCGCGACAGACTTGGCTCAAAAGTTGTGGACTAGGGTGGTTTTTTTCTCGCGAACACGAATATCGCATCCGTACAGTCTGAAACAGCCTGATGCAAACGTCACAAGCGACTCATTAAAACTGAGTGGCTCGTCAAAAGGGGAGGTCATACCATCAGAGCAACATGGTTTTTTGCAGGGAGCATCAACTGTAACTCTCTCTCATGTGTGATTAAATGTACGACTCGTTGACAGGCGTCAACAGTGACAAATCTATTGATATAAAATATTTTGACTTGACAAAAGCGTTCGAAAAGGTTTGCTACGATAAATTAATTAGCAAACTGAAGTTGGTCGGGATTCAAGGGCTACTACTAGAATGATTGAAATCGTATCTGAGGGATAGTTATATGCCGGTTAGGGTTGGCAATCAGTATTCTGATCGCCATCTTCGAGTGGTGTGCCACACGGAGGAGCACTTTCACCATTACTGTTCTTGATTTACACATTGGACCTGCCAAAAATTCTCAAGGTCCATCCCAGTATTGAGGTTAAAATGTTTGCTGATGGTATATCTATTGTGTTTACGACATTCATGAGCAGCTAGTAAGACACAAAATGCTAAGCTTATCCATCGAGAAGATGGTGTGTTGGTCCACAGACTGGGAACCCCCCTCAATTTGGATAGAACTGTACATCTCCATCTGGGACCCTGCTCACCCATCCCGTATCAAGTTGATGGAACATTTATAAAGCTAGAATGCTCTGTCAAGGACCAGGGGATTCTTTCTGATGTTTGGCTGGCATTTGATGGGCATATTGAGATGGTCGTGAAAAAGGCCATGAGGTGCCTTTTCCTGGTATTAAGGAATGTGCAATGTAACGACCCCAGTCTCCTTGTCAGGCTGCGCAACATTTACATCCGGCCTCATCTAGAGTATGGATTCATTGTGTGGAGTCCCTGGATGAAAAAACACGAGAACAGGTTGGAAAGAGTGCAAAAAACGTTTACTAAGCTCGCGTTCTACAGGTGTTTTCCTAATTCTGAATACCCCCTGGCACTTCCAATCTACCAAGATCGCCTGAGAGCGCTGAACATGAGGAGTCTGAAATACCGAAGAATTTTAAACGACATTAACGCTTTCCGCATTTTTAGGAGAGAGAAAATTAGCAGCCAGCAAATACTGGATTTTCCGACCGTACAGAGGGATGAGTGTGGAATCACAATCCACCACAAGAAATTAGAGCGACATCGTTTTAACATTGTGTTTCATTATTTTTTTTCGAGCGGCCAGTGGCTGCGCATGCTACCCCGTGATAACTTACTTGCTGCTTAACGTTTGAAGAAATCTGATATTATCAGAATTCTGAAAGTTGAGGATGTACGGTAGCAAGACAGTAGTGGAATTTTGTTTTACCATACTCTCCGAGCTCTTCTATCAATCGATCTGGACTACTATGGGGACCTACTTCTGTATTATGGACTATGTTCTGCTTATTGCTAACACCGAAACTTTTGCTAGTTAGGTAGAGAATTCTCCAGTTGGGAGGCGACGAACAATCCTAATAGTTTCGCCCTGAGCTTATTACTTCAGCAGATCCTACTCCATATAATCCGCTAAGTATGTCTGTCCGTGTGTGTGTATGTTTGTGTGTGCGTCTGTCTGTGTGTTACGAAATTCATAGCGCCTGTCCCAGTAGCAGTGAGACAGTGATTTCAAGAAGTGATGTACGGGGTGTGACGTGAACACTATTGGTAGGTGACAGGAAGTTATATCAGTTGATAAGATTCGATAAGGGGCTGTAGAAGGAGAAGGTCACTATAATCATAACGCAAGTGACAGCATCAGCCTGCTCTCGATTTTAAGATATGATTATGAGCAGGATAGTCCAAGAAACATCATTAGTGGGTCACAAAAACTGTAAGCTTCTGATAAGATTCGATAAGGGGCGTCAGAAGGAAAAGGTTACCATATTCACAGCGCAGGTCACAGCAGCAGTCAGCTCTTTGATTTCGAAGAATATAGATATGATGTAGGGTGAGAGCCAAGAACATTATTGGTGGGTAATAAGAACTGTGAGCTGCTGATAAGATTCGATAAGGGACGTTAGAATAGTGAGGTCATCGTATTCATAGCGCAGGTCACAGTATCAGCGAGGCGTGCGTTTCAGCAAGTGATATAGAGAGTGAGTTGGGAACATCAACCATGGGTGACCAGAAGCGATAGCTACTGATAGGGGCTGATAATGGAGGTTGCAGTCGTCGTCGCTGTTCAAGGCGGTTCACGCTCTCAAATCATAGAGATTTAGTGGTGAGGACATTGATGACGGGTGACAGGTAATCTTATCAATCAATAAAAATTGATACGATACCATCTGCGCTAACCTCTCACCGCTTTAATGCCGAGTATTCGAGGCTCAGATTGTGAAAATTTCCTTTCGCCAACACTTTCCTGATAACACTAGAAAATGAACTCATACCACTATCCTACTCTATATAATGTCGATGTCGACGAGCGGGGGGGGGGTGGGGGCACACAAATAGCTATGCACGGTATATCCCACGGGCGTACAGAATGCAGATAGTGCATATAAGCATATAAAACAAAAAATTAATACAACCCCCACTTTTCTAGGGGAAAAATCAACTATCAAAATAAATTTGTCTTACCCCACCCCAAATACGACCCCCCTGCACAGAGCAAAAGTACGACCCCTCCTCATGTGTTTCATTTCACACAAGGATGCTGTACCCTGTGTCTGTGTATGTCCGTTATGGCGCGGACGGCAAGTATAAGCGTTTACTATGGAACGCAGGATCCGCAAGGTTGCACTATCTGTTATGATTGTACCAATACAGAGCTGTGTGAGCAACGCAGTGATTGAAAGAGTTCCGTTTTCCATTATGGAGCGCGTCTGGCGAAGCCAGGCCAGCTCGGCGAAGCCGAGCTGAGGAGAAAGAGGAGAGCTCGGCGTCAGCCGGGCGATCCGACTGGTAGTTTAATAATGGACCTAATAGATGGCGGGTCACAGGCTGGATTGTTAGGGATAGGGAATACCTAACTTCCGAAAATTCAGTCTCTGACTCCATATTTTTACCCTTTGCCGAGAGTAGCGTTTTCCCTAGCGCCATCCGCCTGTTGAAAACAATTTTTTTTCACATTATTCGTGTTTATTTCACGTACACACACTACAGCTCGGGGTGATGAGACAGGTGGCTTCTTCTTCTTTGTTTCCTACTACATACTCGACTGGACAATTCCTTACCTATGATGAACTTTGTAGGTAGTAGTTATATTTATTCTACTATTCCGCTGACATTTTGTATCCTTCTGGGCCGTTTGAGCTCATTCGTGTTGTGTCTTTTGTGCTGTGTTCTTTTGAGTTGTGTTTCGTTTCTGTGATGTTTTTTGCACTCTTTTTTCTTTTTTTCTTTCATTTTTCTGTCAATTTTAGTTCCGACCTGATATGGTAACGTAGCGCACCTAGGAGTGCATATAATCAATAAATAAATAAATAATTTACATGCTCGACTCTGGCGCATATAGCATAGACTCGCTTTGGTGAGGAGCTGTGTGCTAGGACAGTTAGGCAAACGGTGGAGAAAAGCAGCACTCTCTCTGATTGCCTGTGGTACTGATTGTTGGATCCCTGCTTCTGGTTTCTTCGGGAGTGTCGATAAGACGATACGCACAGAAGGTTTATCTGGCGAGTGCACTACACACAAAACCAAATTCCCTACCGCTCACCTCTCTTAAATACGCTCTCAAAAGAGGTGCGCAGTATCAAGCTTTATCAGGGTTCATTAATCTGATACAGCAGTGATTCTTCCCTTTACTAAGGCTGAGCTAGCAAAGTTAGGGGCCAGTGTCTCGGGGGAAGGGTGGAGACGATCAGAAGCAGGTTGCGCTGGGGTACCCCCTTTAGTCCATCCTCAACACTTTCAAAGTCCATATAGATGTGATTTTCGTGTTCGGGAGGCCAAACTACACACACAGGCAGAATTTCAGCGGATCTGGTGATGGTATTTCGGCGTCGGCGCTTATGGAGCGGACGCGAGGAAGTTTTAGGCCGAGCGAATTGAATATTCGTATTCAGGAGGTTTAGCCAAGCCGACAACTCTTTGGCCGATTCTACCAGCGGAGTACAAAGTCGGTCAAAAGCAACCTGATTTTGGGTGACTGGGACTGCAAAAGGGTAATTAGTGCCCCGCTCATTCATGCAACCCGCCTTCCGCAGGGCATGTGACAAGGCAATCGTGATTCGCTGCACTACTGGGCGCGCTGCGATTCGCGCCTGCAAATGTCAATGTTTTTTTAGGTCGTAGATGCCCAGAATGGACAACGATAACCGAAAATAGCCATAAATCTCTACTCCGTCTCTATGAAATCTGATACACCGATCGACAGGCTAATGCAAATCAAGAAAACGCCGAATCCACTGCCGCGCGCGACGGAGCGCGGATGTGGAAAGAGACAATAACAATATGCCGCGTTGGGGGCGCGGCGAACAACATCGCGCTCGACAGACGAGTTGTCCTGCCTGGCCATCTGGATCCGAGCGCTGAAGAGCGGGAAAATTTGATATCGGCTGTAATCTAATCTTCTCTCCCTTGAATTTACAAGGGCTTGTCTGCCCAAATGGCAAAATGGTGCACATCGAGAGTCAACCGCGCACGGCGACGCGGCACATTACGATAGCCTCGGCCGTCTCCCGTTTCCATAGGCTCCAAGAAAAAAAAATGATCAGCGAGAAACGTAATAAACGTCGTTACTAATCTCGGAAGGCTAAACGATCAAGCTACTGTACTATATACTACATATATGCCGAGATTAATTGAAAGCCGTTCATGGGATCAGCGAGAAGCCTAGCGGCACCTGCGGGCTGTCGTTAAAGTGAGGCTGTATTCACGCACGACGTTGACATGATTGACGTTTTTGGCGATTACACAGCGTAGATGAGATACGTATCGATCCGAAGTAATGGTACCAGGAGTAGATAACGACAGTAGTCGCCTCCCAGCACTTCGCAACATCTCTTGACGCATCACGTGCGCGCTACGACGAGTTTTTTCTACCGCTTTTTGTCTCTCCCACTCCCTGTCATGAACCACAGGCTCATGGTATTCGATTGTGTCAAGCTCAGAGTGATGAAACCTTTCGTGTTTAGGACCAAAGGAAAGTACAAGGCATAAACGAGCAATATATATGCTCATCCTCATCCTTATGCGCTGCGTAGCAAAATTATAAGTAAAGAATCATCACGCCCCTTACATCTGACCATTAAAGGTCAACATGCCAGCCCGGCCATTTCCAGTGACGTGCACACCGTCGTACGCCTCTTGAGATGGCGATCTCAAACCTATCTTCAGAATTCACGGAACGATTCTCTGAACGGAGTTATGGAGGGTCCCCTCCTCCCCCCTCCCCATTGTTTTCTTCTTTCGGGCGAGCTGGGCCGAAGCGTACGTACCTATAGCGCAACCAACAACACTCCTCGCGCGAAACGGGTGTCACATTCGTGCTCAGGGAGGTCAAATAGCCCCTAGCGATGGCACTCTAGCGGAATCTAGACTTCGACTCAACTTGTAAAAACTGAAGATGGGTTCGCCATAGCCGACTGGTAGCCACCCGTAATATTAGGACCAGCCTACCATCGATGACTGCTCTTCAAGCTTGATTAACTCTTCAGTAATGTTTTTTCGCAAAGCCTGGCTGACATTTCCTCGTCATCTTCATCATTTTCCTGGCAAACGGGAGGGAATTTCATTCCAAGACCACCCGTTTAACATGAATAACACTGATTCAGTGCGAAAACCCCCGTGATATCTCTTACGATGGGGACAACCGCAAGCACTGCTTTAGACCACAGTTTAAGAAAAACAGACCACAGATCCTCTTACAGGCGAGCACAGATTTTAGAAGCTTTGTCGACTACTTTCATGAAAAAAGCAAAACAATGAGACCTGACGAGAATCGACAACACAACGTCTGCTTGTGAAAGTAGCTCATCTGTTGCGCTCTAATACTACGTGTGAGCGTAATCCACATATAGTGGAGTTCCCCTTCCGATGGGCAGACGGTCTTACGTCCATGTTAGCGAGCGGTGCTTCTAAAAGCTGAAATTATTCTTCACCCGTCAATAAGAAAAGGTAGGTATGTATTGCTGAAGCTGGTTTTCATTTTGCATGATTTTAGTCAATAACATCGAAGTCAAACCAGGACATTCATGAGAAAAAATTGCAAAAGCAGGAAGAAAGCACTTATCCAAAAGAAATTCATGCTAAAATCATGCGAAATGTAATCTACTTTTAGCAAGCATAGTCACTTCCTGAAAA